GAGCTAACATCCGTGCTAATCCTCCTCTTTTTGCTGAGGAAGACTGGCTCTGAGCTAACATCTATTGCCAATCCTCCTCCTTTTTTTTTTTTCTCTCCCCGAAGCCCCAGTAGACAGCTGTATGTCATAGTTGCACATCCTTCTAGTTGCTGTATGTCAGACGCAGCCTCAGCATGGCCAGAGAAGCAGTGCATCGGTGCGCGCCCCGGATCCGAACCCGGGCCGCTAGTAGTGGAGCACGTGCACTTAACCGCTAAGCCATGGGGCCGGCCCTTTTAGGCAGTTAGGGGGAAGGTCAAAGTTTCTTTCAGAGTCTTTTGGTCTTAAAAATAATTAAACCAAAGAGACACATTTTGGGGTGGCAAATTCTGATCCCCGACACAGGCTTCCCCAAGGCAACTTCCATCTGAGCCTGGATATATGACTCAGTGATGGGCCTCTTTTTGGTGAGGCCAGTTCAGTGTTCTTACTTGGACTGACACCCAGAGAGCCCAATATAGAGGCCTTTCCTCGTTCACTCTGCCTCAGGTAATTCAGCTCCAAAGTGTTTTTGGTGCTTTTAGGTCCAGCTCTTCATCACTTGCCCCCGCCTCTTCCTGTATGGCCTCTTGTAGCCTCTCCACTCCCCCTACTATCATTCCAACACCCAGCCTTCCTGGCACCCAGGACGAGTGATCTAACACTGCCGCTGCCACTTAACTCACCTCCTATAACTCTACTCCTCTTCCCTTTCACTCATTCTCTTCCCTTTGTCTAGACATATATGTGTTTCTTCAGAAAGACTGGAGGTTCCTTTGAGGGCAAGAATCTCTTTATCCCAGGTCTGTTGCCTCATATCACTGTTCACACACAATAGGCCCTCCGTAAATATTTGCTAAATAAATCAAATAAGAATTCCCATCTCTCTGACAGATCTTCTCTGACTAGTGGGAAGAAAATAAGTAAATTCTCTTTTATTCCTTTGCTGGAGCAATTTGCAGCTCTCTGACTTCTCTTGCCATTTCACAATATGCTCTCCCTCCCCTCTCTGTATGTAATGTCACTACTATGCAGTCATTGCCCTGTGAAGTGATTGCCGGGTGGGAGGTGGGGCTGGGGGAGGTGGTCTTCGCACATCATCATTGCCTCCTCTCCAGCCAACGCAAATCCGTTTACAATCTGAGTTTAAGCCTGGTGTTGACTTTACATTTGCACCTTCGGGCAAGACACCTCTTCCTTAAATTTGGGAATCTCCTTATTATAGTATTTATATTTGATTCAGGTAACCAGTAAATTTAACTTATTTAATAAATGCTTGTATGGCACTCACTAAATGCCAGACACTGTTCTGAACACTTTAACTATATTAACTAGTTCCTCCTCATAACAACCTTACCAGGTACATACAGTTATTACCATCAGCCTCATTTTACAAAGGAGGAAGAGGAGACATAGAATGATTAAGGAAGGGACTTGTTCAAGGCCACACAGTGATTGATAGCTAAGCTATCAGATATCAGAACCCACGTCCTACCACTGTGCCCTGCTGCCTCCCAATGCAACGGGGGCGGGGTCTAGGCTGCACATCTGCCCCCCTCGATTGTGAGTTGCCTTTCTTAATGTTCAGGTCCCTCGAGAGCAGGAAGTCTCTTTTACGTGACCTACCTAGCAACATGCTGACTTGTGCTTAATCAATGTCTCTGGGCTCACTGATTCATTACCTATGGCTTGAATGCAGGTTTATTTATGTTATTCCACGCAGTTAATTGTTCATGCTGTAATCAACGCTCGTCCTAAAATTTGGCTCCTCAAAATATATTTTCAAACAACCTAGGAACCGTGCCAAGAATTAACTCTAATTACACATTGTACCAGTTTTGAGTACTAGAGATGACTCGAAGGCAAAATGTGTGTTATTTGAAATTATTAAACTGTTAGTAAATACAATGTGATTTTGCCCAAGAAAGAGACAAAGTTGCATGTCCGTCTTCTCTTTTAATTGCCCTTTCTAGGTGTCTAGGAACAGATGAGACATTTTTTCTCATAATTTCTAGACTTTTTCTTGAATTAATACATATTTTTTAGCTGCCCATAAGCCACCACTTACTGTTCAGCAAAGAAGAATCAGATTCCAACCCCACTCTGTGGGTTCACCTCCAATGAACAGAACAAACAGGAAGAACACATGGGGTGAGCTGTTCATTTGATGCAAGGGTCATTCATAGTACAGTGTTTGGGTGCTTTTGGGAGCCAATTCTAGTTGCCTCAGGGTATTTCTAAGATGAATTCCGGAAATAAAGTGTTTATAAATAGTAAGCATAAAAAATGAATGCATTCATCCCAGCCACTCCCTTATGTAGTCCCAATGGCCTCCCCTTGCAGCTAGTAGTTAATTGGTTAGCTGGTTGGGTTAAGTTGGCGGTTTTCAACCCTATCAGAGCCAACACTCTATTTTATGAGAAATTTTTTTTAACTCCTTTTATAATCCTTAAATGATATTCATAAATAATAAAATCTCTATACACAAAATTTCAAAAGATAAATATAATAGCTTATAATAAGTATAACAGTAAATAAAAGAGAAATAATAGGAAAGTAATTTATAATGATATAATAGCTATTTTAATGAATAAATACTCTGTTCTATTACAGGTGGAGAAATTATAAAATTGACAGACATTTGCACCTAATGTAGATTCACCATAATGTAATATGAAATATATGATATATGTAAGAGCAGTATAGACTGATATCGACATGCTGTATTGGTGATTCAAAGACCATGAACATCATTGCAGACGATGATACTATTTTCCAAAATTATGAAGAAATCTTGGTCAAAATTTTAAGTAATAATGTACAATCTTCCCTTAATTTACGTGGTAGTTATACCCCTAGAAAATTCGTCATATGTTAAAACAGTATAAGCTGCTTTATGCTTATACATAAATGGAATTAGCTTCTAGGCTCAGGTAATTGTGAGCAGGTTTTCACCTACATAAACATGCAACAGGACATTCAAAAGTTTGCAGGACATGGGGAAATTTTTTGTAGTGCAGAGCTGTCCTGAGCACTGCACTATTCCAGCCTTCCTTTCCCTGCCTTCTAAATGCTAGTAATGTTCTCCAATAATTGTGTCATTCAAGAGCAACTGCCATAAATTTCCCCAAATGCTCTCCATTGGGTGATACCACTCGCATTGACAACCACTGGGTTAATTCCTAGTATTAGATTTAGTCTCAAGTAATTATGTTGATTCATTCTCCTGACTTTTTGTCGACCTTGAAAACCAAAGGCATGTCTACAGTAAAATCCTCAATACTTGTATAATTGGGTTATACATGGAGACTGTGTGTTCCATGAGAACAGGGCTCAATTCATCCAGTGTGCACAACATCTGGTAGCCAACACAAATCCAGGCTTTGCTAAGTCTTGCTTGAATGAGTAAATAATTTGGGGGTTGGACGTTTGGGTTAGTGAAAAGATATATCCTATTTAAAAGAAATAGTTTTGTTATTTTAAGTACATGCGACAACACCTAGATGCTCACTAGAGAGACTTATAGTTAAGGATTATTTAAAAATACCATTTCAATTGTTTCTGTTTGAATGAATGACATTAAAGTGTTTGAAACCATCTGGAACCTGTCAAAGACTCAGAATATTTATGTCATTTTGAATAGGGAAAGGGAACATGTTAAGGACCTGGTATGAACTGTGGCCTTGGACTAAAAGTCTTGCTTAATCTTCACAGTGGTCTATGAGGCAGCTATTAGTAACTGTGTTTTTACAAGTGATGAAATTAGACCCAACAAGGCCATTTATCTGCCCCAAGTCAGACAATTGGTTCAACAGCAGAACAGGGTTTGAACTCAGAACTCTCTCATTCCAGAGGCTTTGTCTTTTCCAAGAAATCAAGCCGTCCCTCTTTCTTAAGTGAGGCAAAGCTAAGTTTCTGTTAAATTTACATCTGAAGGACCATGAATTATGGCTATATGAGGTCTACATTAATATAATTTTACTCTATATGTGGTTCCAACTGTCATTTCTATTAAATTCCACTTTCCTAGTGGGTCGGTGATTTTTACATTGATCCTGTTCTTGGTTGGGTTCCAGCATTCAGGGTCTTGTGTGAGTTCACATTCATGGGATTCCTGAGGACAGAGACTAGGTCCTCTTTGTCTTTGGGTCTCCAGAACCTAGCATGGTGTCTGGCACAAAGTGGATGTTCAGGGAGTGTTTGTTGAGTTGACTTTAATTGAATGATGTTTCTCCTTTTAGGCCTTGGCCTTACACAATATTTCAGCGAGGCTTTGACCTGGTTTTGGGAGAACAGCCGTCTGATAAAATATTCAGGTAAGTGGTTTTCCAGGAACTTGCTTATGTACATCTGCAAGCCCCGGGTCCCACTTCTCACTGAACTTTCTTTCCTACTGGTAAAGTATAAAATAGGAACTACTTTGAGTCCTTCTGCTCTCCTAGTAACAAAAGTGCCTGCCCCTCGTCGTGCTCAGTGACAGCATGGAGGACTTGAGGTCAGACAGATTCTGTTTGGGTCCTGGCTTCCTTCCTTGCCTGCTCTGTGAACCCCAGTAATTTACTTAACCTCTTGGAGCCTCCAGTTTCCACACTTGTATAATGGGGCTACATTACATGCCTGGCTCTATTGTTGTGAGGAATATATGAGATAATGCAGGGAAAGCCCCTGGCACAGAAACTGGCACAGAGCAGGCAATTAATGTCAGTTTCTGCCTCTCCATTTTGCATCTAATTTGCAGCTTCCTCATAATGTCTTAAGTTGTTCAAAATGAATCTCTCCCGCCCACGCCTCCCTTTTCTCTAATTCATTATTATTTTCTTTTATCTGCCACCCTCCTGATCAAATTGGATGTTTCTAGTCCCTCCCAAATTTCTACCTACATACCTGGTAATAGCACATGTTAGAAAAGTCAATAGGCAGAGGAAGAATTTGGGTGCTGGCCATGAACTATTGGGTTTTCAAAAAGTGTAATTCATCCCAGGCCTTAGCTGGAACACAAGTTTATTTCCAAACTAAAATCTTATCATTTATGTTGTCAATCTATCCTTCACTTAATGTGCATTTGCTGAGTCCCTACTAAGTGCCAGAGACTGTGGTTGGCCTGGCAGTGTGGACATGAATCCCAGCCCCCTGGGAGAGGAAGTGAGTAGTCCTGCACGAGTGTCTGATGTCAAAGGATGCAGTAAGCTACTGCACAGCATTGTTGGAGGAATGGTGAGCAGCATGGGACAGCAGGAAAACTTCCTTTGTTTTCACTCACTCGTACAGTGTGCTGAGTCTCGCGTATTCACTGCTGCCTTTCCAAACTCCTTCCCCAGACCCTCCCTCTCGGCCAGTCCCGGCCTAGGTGGTAATTTTACTCCTGCATTTGCCTCCTAGAGCTGGCTTCCCTACCCCAGCTTCTCCTGCTCCTCCCTGCTGACTCTGGATGGACGGGGCTTGGCCACTGCAGTGTTCTCCTAAGGCATGCCCCTAGCTAGACTGTAGATTTCAGAACCACTTCCTCACAGGGCCTTCCCTTGCCCTTTTTCTCCCAAGTGTCTCTCCCGGGGCAGGCTGGGTCACATTAATGGCATTGGCTGCAGGTTACCTTTGAGGATGTGTGCTACAAGAGATGTCAGCTATATTCCTTAGACTATGACTTGGATATTTAAACTTTCCAACAATGATTTATCGTTTGGCTGAGTTTTTTCTCCCTTTTTCCTGCTGCTGGTCTGCCAGGACCTAAAAGGGTGATAAAGATAAGGCAGATGGAGAGTCTGGTGGAGTTGGGCTGATTGACATGAATAAGTTTTCTCTCCTCTAAAAGTCAGAAACTAACACTTTGAAAAGCAAGGGCCTTAATGAAATTGCTCTTAGGACCTTCACAAAACCTGTGTTTCCATCCCCACAAGCACCATTTACTCTTTTCAAGTTTGTTAGCTGCCAACTGGCTGTGATGTGCAAGCACTCCAGGGGAGATTTTGTATGGTTTGACCCATGTAGTCAACTATCTCAGGAGCCAATGGGTTAATCAATAAGTGATTAATTATTTTGGACCCTAACATGAAAATAACTAGTCTCTCAGATGAAAGCAATGGTTCATGATCTCCTTATTTCAGGTATTAAGAACTTTAATAGAAACCTGGAATCTGAGTAAACCAACTGCCAGTGGCCACTCTGGAAAATTCTGTGACCCGGTCAGTGAATGTAATTTCTTACAGAAGCTAATGACTATTTAGTTGCTACTCTCCTCACTTATGATTTAGTGTCCTGATGAATTCCAAGCCATTGTACATTTGCCTGGACTATGGAATAAAGTTTAAATTCTGACATTCAAATCTTTCTGCAATTGAGTGCCGATGTACAACTCCCTTTTAATAAGCTACTCTTCTTCTCTAGAACCTTCCATTCTTAGTCAAATGTATCTTCTAACTGATCCACTGCCCCAACAACTTGAACATTTTCTGCTCTACACATTTGCTCATACTCTTTCCTCCAGCAAGAATGCATATTCTCCTCCTAATATAAACACCACCCATTGTCATCGTCTAGACCAAGTCTCAGCTGAAGCCAACATCTGTCAAGCACCTGCTATCGCAAGGCACTGTTCTAGATGATGTAGATGTGACCAAACAAAAATGACCATGATAGTCCCTGACTTCAAGGAATTTACGGTCTCATCCAAAAATTGTTCTGCAACCCTGACCCTCATGAGAATCCCCAGTGTGCTTTAAAAATGACAAATGATCTTACCTGGTACAAACCATTTAATTCAAAAGTTCTGGGAGGTGGGACCAGGGCATGAGTGTCTTTTGGAAGCACCATGGTAATGCTGATCTGTGCCCAGCATTGAGAAACACCACTCTAAAGCTTCTCCAATCCACTGCACCAATCCACAATGACTTTTCCCCCTCCAAATTTCCACAACATACTGACTATAATATTTATTTGTCAACTATTGTATTTCATGTTTATTTTTAATTTACCTATTTGTTTCCCCAATGACATGGCTTGTCTTCTTGAGGGAAGGGGTAGTTCCCTATATGGCTTTGAATGTTTAATATCTAACATACAATTTTAAACACAGTAGGTCTTTAATAAATATCTGTAGATGATCACATCAGATTTCCTAAGAACTTGAAACCAGATTAGGAAAAGACCTGATACCCAATCTAACCTTGGTAATCTGCAGTCCCAAAGATCCTGAGAAGGGTCCAAAGGGACTCTGAACCTCCAGCCTGAGTCTTCTCACCAAAACCAGTCTAGTGCTAAAGACCTCCTTTCCACTGTGGCTAGGATCACTCCATTCCACTAGACCCTCTGGTGGAACGGACTACTGTAGACCAAATTTATCTCTCAGAGACCTTCCTCCCAGGTGTGTACCTGCATCCCTGGGAACAATACCTCATCCCGGAATGCTTTGGGAAGAGTGGAGATGCCAGGCTAACAGCTATTTGTCAGTTTTCCCACAGTCCATTTGATGCCAAGCCACAGTGAGAGCACAGGCTTGTTCTGTCCAGTGCCCTCTGGCGAGTGTTTGCCTCTGAACAGAAGTTTCAAGCTCTAGTTCAACAGGGCCATGTGTAGGACTCAGGCTACAGCTGAGCCATCAACTGCAGTGGTCACTGCCGGCTGTCACGAGAAAAGGCCCAACTTGGGAAAGCATTCCAGATGCTCACCCAACTTCTCTTTGGTGGCTTTTCGAAATAATTCCTGCCAAATTTGCATGAATGAGGGACAGATGAGATTTCAGGACACAGCTTTTCTCTGACAGTTTGTTCTATATTTGGTTTTTGGAGTTAGTAGATTTTGCAGATAAAAGAAAACTTTAGAATTTCATAGGCATGAGCCAGCATGGATTGGAAAGCTTCTGTGAGCCACACTTGAGAATCGGACCGACCCCCATCTTTCCCACTTATGGAGAGGTGACCTTGGGGAGGTTGCTAAACTTCTTAAAATATTAGTTGACAAATTGGTATGATGGGGCCAAACGGCTAACCTCAGAGGGCTGTTGTGAGGATAAATGAGGCAGTCTGCAGAGCACCTGCCCTTTTGAGAGTTGTCAATAAGGATAGTCTCACGCCCCCTCCTGACTTTGATTCCCCTATAGGGTTTCACCTTGATCTACCAGAGATTGAAGATTACACTCTTTTTCTTGTTAACCTGGTACAGTGTCACGTCTCAGAAGCTGCTGTGCACTTTGGAAATCCTCACAATATCAAACCCAGATCCATCTTGACCATTAAATTCATTTAAACCCAGAGATTAACCCATATCCTGCTCTAAATGGGGGATAATCTTCACCACCGCTCCTACCTTTAAATTTGAACTTTGAGTTTGTATACTCCAGTAGCCTGTGCAAACTAAAGAACATAACTAAATATTGATCAGTCAATAAATATTTATGGAGTGACCTCCTTGGGCCAGAAATTGTGTTAGGCAGTAGGGATACAAAGATGACAAAGAACTATCCTCTCATCCAAGAGAGCACATTCTTCTGAGGGTGATGGACACGTGAAAACATGGGCACAATTCAGCGTCTTAGGCGGGGCAAGCGACTGTGTGCACGTGCACGGAGGAGAGTGTCTTGCTCAGCCTGAGGGTTGAGCGTGAAGGTCCTGGAGGATTTTCTGGAACGGTGAGACCTTAACTGAATCTTAAAATGAGTGGGAGTCCTACAAAAAAGAGGGAAGAAAATTCAGAAAGAAGGCATATTAGAAGCAAAGGCAAAGGGCGTGAAAAGTAGGATGTCTTTAAGAACCACTGTCAGAGTGCATTGTAGGAGCACAAAGTGTGCAGCAGAGTGTGGTGAAGGAAGGGGTTGAAGAGGTGGGCGGGAAGGATGTCTTTGGGGATGTGAGCTTTGTTCTGTAGGCCTGGGTGTCATTAAACAGTTTCAGTTGGGAAAGATCTGGTTTGCTTTTCCCTTCAAAATATTATTGCACGTACAGGAGGAAGGAAAAACTGTGAGGTGGATGGACATGGATCTCTCTCTTCCAAAAGAAAAATTAATCGTCAGAAATACGCTAGAACTCCCAACAGTTTCCCAAAATCTGTTGCATAAATTATAAGGTACAGGTCACAGATTGGTTCTTCTGCATCAATGCAAAACTTGTCATTTTAAAACCAAAATAGAAAACAAAAACTCACCTTTATGTCCAAGTAAACTGCCTCCTCCCTGCTACCGTTTAAACTTGTGTATGTTCTTTCTGAAACTATATATTAGATATAATATTAGTGGTGCCCCTACCCCAGCCTGCCTATAGTAGTGTTGCTCTCTCAAGAACGTCCATTATGAAATGCAAAGTCAACACAAATACTTGTGTGTTGTTGCCTTCAACCCACATTCATCCTTAAGTCCCAGGTTCCAGGCACCTCGGGGCAATCACTTGCCCTGAACTGGCTCCTTAATCTTGCCAGATGACGCGTGTGTGTGTGTGTGTGTGTGTGTGTGTGTGTGTGTGTGTGTGTAAAGGGGCTGTCATGACTTCAATTTTGCCTACTGCTTCACAGAAGAGTGAAGTGGGGGGTCTCCATTCTGTCCCCCTAGTAGTGTGCTTCCCTCACATGGTGCAGACTCCTCCCTGTGCAGATCTAGCCACACCTATTGCCTCCTGTCCCTGTGGGTGGGAAGAGTTGAGTGCCTCCTTCAGAGCAGTAAGCATCTGTGATATTTCAATGCTGCTTAAGGCAGAGGTTTGCCCAGCAGGTCAGAGACGTAGGGGTCCAAGAGTAAGAGTGGGAATGGGGAAGAAACCTCCCAAATCCTGGCCACATCCCACTTGCTCAGTGGGTTGCCCTCCCCTGAGCACCCGCCTGTCCCCTTTCATCTGCTCTAGTGCCTAGAACTCTCTTTCACGGAGTGGGTGAAAATCATGTGGCTTGGCTGCTTGTAATTCCTGAGCCTCAGTCAGTGGGTATTCTCTGCGGCCAGGGTTCTGGAGGGGGCTACATTTCTCATAAAAGATCTCACGTCATCAATCTTGTTTCCTAGCATCTCAGGCATCCCAGGGAGTGGGGAGGGGAGTGGAGAGGGAGGCATGTGGGTTCAGGGAGAGAAAAGAACAGCATTCTGAAATGCTCTGTGACCAGCATGCTGATGGAACCAGCTCTGGGTTCTGTTTAATTGTGTGCATCCTTCCATTGTTCCTCCCTCCGCATTAAGTTGGAAGGGGACGTCAGACTGCCACAGCCTCGTGATATCCCACCCACACTGGCTTTCAGCCCATAGACTATTTTTGACTGTGAACACAGAGCATTTGAATGCCTTTGAAATAAAATGAATGTATAAATAAACAAATAATCTCTCACGGTTTCCTTAAGCTTTCCCTTGAAATGCTGATTGATTCTTTTATTCCTTTTAGCCCTTGTTATAAGAATAAAAAAAAAAATCTTCCCTGTCTCCCCAGGGTTAACACCCTTAGCTAAGGGTGTGAGTGGGAGTGCTGCAGAGAATACATCTGGGCCTGTCTTGTTCATCCCTCTTCTCTCCTCCCTGGAGGCTCCTGGCTTCAGTCACTTCTGCTCCCATCACACAGAAGCCAGAAAAGGGGAGCTTTTCTCCTTTCTTTTTCTTGGTAGGGTTCCTCCAGGCACAGAGAGAAACCATCGCTACCACTGTGGGTGTGCAACCCGAGGGAGGGGGGTGGTGGGAGGCCGGTGTGTCTCTTTGATTAAAATGCTTCCAATTATATCCGACTTAAGATAGGGGAAGCCCAGCTTCAAATCTGAAGGAAACTGGAACTCGGTTTCTTATGACTTGATAAAAACCACTTCTAGCAGCTGGTGTGTGGGTGCTATAATCAGTTCTCCAACTGCCTGGACATGTGAGCAGGAGTAGGCCTCTCTGCCTCCCTCAGTCTCAGTCATCTCATCCATAAAATGACAATAAACTCTCCTTTCTAGACTCAGTCATCTCATCCATAAAATGGCAATAAACTCTCCTTTCTGAAGAGGACTACGAGGGGTGAGAAGGAAGCCGCTGGCAGTAGAATGCCAGGCCCTCCAGTGGGGACGGTTGTCCCCTCAGTCATAACCACCTGGTGTCGGGTGTCCCTGCAGGTTCACCTACACCCTTGGGGAAGGCATGTGGCTGCCCCTCAGCAAGAGCTTTGTGATCCCACCAGCTGAACTGGCCATCAATCCATCAGCAAAGTGTAAGACGGACATGACAGTGATGGAAGATGCTGTGGAGGTCAGGTGAGTCCGGCCTCAGCATGCTGAGGCCTGCACTAGGCTTGGGAGGCTGAGAGAGAAACTACCTGAAGGTCCAAGGTGCTGGGAAAGGAATCATGACAAGCTGAAAGGAGAAGTTGGCAGGCTGCCTTCCAAGTCCCCAGACGCAGTGCCAGGATCTACTCCATCTGGGTCAATACCGCACACCCCAAGGCTCAGGCGCTGGGAGAGGACATAAAATTAGAGTTTGTAAGCACTTGCTACATCCCCGAAGGACTGACAGGCAATAAAATATTAATTTCCTTGCCCAGGTTTAGACCTCCTTCTCTGACCAGACGTTACAGCCTTGGCTCATTTCCCAGATATGGAGAATGTCCATAATTTGTTAGTTCAAGGCTCAGAGTATGGTTGATCTTTCATTTTTTCAAGAGAGAGTGAGACATGATCCAGTTGGCCGGATAAGAAGGCGGAATATGATGCTACTTGTTGTACCTGGAGCCCTTGACTCCTCCCACCGCCCACTGTTTCTCCCCCCAGAGAGGAGCTGATGACCTCGTCCTCCTTCGACAGCCTGGAGGTTCTCTTAGATTCCTTTGGTCCAGTGCGTGACTGCAGCAAAGATAACGGTGGCTGCAGTAAGAACTTCCGTTGCATCTCAGATCGCAAGCTGGACTCCACTGGTTGTGTGGTACGTGTGCCCTGTCAAGCTTGTAATTTCGGGGAAGGCGGGGGGTACAGGATAAAACACAAGGCAGATATATAGATGAAAATGTATTGTGAATAAAAGAGAGTCAAGGATGATCCCTCCCTAGTTGTAACCACCATCTAGTCTAAATTATGAATTTTCCCTTGGCAGAGATGAGGAGCTAATCATGGTCAGTTAATCAAGAAGTATTTATGGAGCACCTACTGTGTGTACTGTAACTATCCAAAGGAAATGTCATGAATTATATAGCATGATTCTTTCTTTCCAGTCTTTCAGGCTAGTTGGTGAGGGATACTCCAAATAATTTGAGAACTAATTAACTGCTAAATAGAATAATATTGACTCTAATAGGAAATAAACTGTATTTACTGTAATAGGAAATTCTAGAAGAAACCTGCCTTTGACTAGAGTCCAATTACATTGACTGTAATAGGAAATTTGAGGAGAAACCTACCTAAGGCTGGGATAATGAAAGAAGTAAGTTACTCCAGGAATAGTAGAGGAAAAATAAGAATATGTCCCCTTTGAGACCATGGCAATGAACTCCTGCTTCACTAAAGGTGGTTTTCTACTTTATCAGCTATATGATCTTTGGCTACCTTTAAAATACGTGATGCTATTCACTAGAAACTATTTGGGCTACAGTGGACTAAGATATCTCCCGTGCTGTGGGTATGAAGACTGATTGAACCAAGCAGATAAATGGAGGCAGGAGCAGATGAAGCCATCAGCTGCTGGTGCCTCTATGTTGGTCATCTTCATGCCCATCAAAACTATTGTCTGTTTCCAGCCGTCTCTTCTTTTAGGGGCAGAATGATGCAACTGTCACAGAGAGGAGAGGGAATGGGGCAGAGAAGGCAGGCAGGAAAGCCATACATAAATTGGGCACAAAGGAGAGGGAGAGATGATTTATTGTGACACATAGTTCTGCAGTGTTTTGGGGGCAAGGCCAGGAGCTTCCAGCTCTGGGGAGGATATGGTGCCTCATCTTGCCTCCCAATCTGACAGCTGTGCTCTTGTAAGGGGACCTAGAGCAGGGGCATGCTGTGAGGATGCTGGGCCCATTCCATCTTTCACACCCTCTTCTTCACATTTCTGAGCACCTGCTCTGTTCAGGAAGCTGTTCTCCATCAAAGATGCATATGTACCTGGGCTCCAGGGTGGGACTCTCTCAGCCCCCAGGCTTCCTCAGACTTTCACAGATTACACAGCAGATGACAGGAGCCTGATTCATCTGAGAAGGGAGAGAAAATGAGGAAAAGAAAAAGGAAAAAGAAAGCACTGAGGAGCAAGTACATGGAGAACCTGGCAGGTCCATCAAAAGGAAGGGAAAGCAGAACAGAGAGGACTGTCAGGAAAATACCAAGAAAAGTGCTCTGTAGGTCATATCTTCCAAAGGTGACCAGGAGGTAAGTTGATGCCCCACAGTGCTGCCCTCCCCGTGGTTGGTCCACTTTCAGATGTCTTAAGCAATGAGCTTCCCAACTGGGTCCCACAGGAGACAATTTCACTGCCTAATGGAGCTCCCAGCTGAGACTTTTTTTTTTGTTTTTTTTTTTTTGCTATTGAGCCTGCATTTCTTCATCCAGATTTCAAGCTTTCATTCCTCATTACTCTCTTGGGTCATTCTAAGTACTAAAACACTGTGTGTGCACGTGTGTGAACATCCCTCCCCACCTCCCAAAGCTACCCCCATATGAGTTCGAGCATGCTCACACATTCACACGCATGCACACGGATATACTCTCCATCTCTTCCCACTTATCTGCCCCTTTCCTGAGCCCCTAAGGGTTTGCCTGTCAAACGCCTTCTGTTGGTGATCCTAGCCCCCTTTACTTGGCATATAGCCATGCTGATGTATTTTTGTATTTTTAACACTGTGATCTGTGAGACGGAGCTAGCAGGAATAGTTCCGATGAATATGCATTTGCAATAAGATTGCTGCATTTTAGAATTGGAGCCGCTGCAGAAAGTCACCCAATTATACCAGTGCCTGGTATTAGCATAATACTTTGAAGTCACTGGTGCACGTGGTTCTTGGAGGGAGGAGGCGGCCAGGCTCCCTGGCAGGCCCATTCAAATGACTGTTTCTCATTGGCTGTGAAGCACATGATCCCTGAAGCAGGAGGACTGATGGGTAGAGAGCTGATGTGTCGTATCATGACCTTTATGACCCTAGTGAGAAGGTCAGAGACTTGACTTTGAGCCGAGCTGACTCCACTGGGCATCAGTACTATCCCAGAGCCCTGGTGTGTTAGCAGAGCGGTCCTGTGTCATCTGGAGGTGGACCAGGGACGAAGGCATCAGCTGCACCAACTGCAGTTTGGGGAGATGTGGCCTTCCTTCTCTCCACATAAACCCTGACATTCAGTTCTCTGGGTGCTGAACTGAAAGGCTTCCCAGGAGCTCAGAACATGCTGGCCCTTAAGGAACCCGGGAAACAGGCAGAGATGTGGGAAGAGACAGAGTGTCCTCGTATATTTGCCTGAGTGAATTCAAGCCAGACAGGTGGGCTAGGTCCACACCAGCTGCTCAACCTTCATTCTTTCCAGGAAGGCAGGGCATGTTTCTCAGTTATGCATGGACTCCCACAGGGTTAATTGCTACCCAGTTAATTGCCTTGTTGTTTATAGAGTCTCTGGGGATAGGAAACAAATACCCGTGAAAGGCACAGACCTGTACAAGCCACAATCACTCCATTCCAAACCAAGCCACTCTCCAACAGCAGGATTGCTGAGCCTTTGGGAGGGTTCCCGGAGCAGAGGCCAGCCACCTACTGGTGATAAGCGGGTCTTACTTCTTCTATCCATTGTCCTTACTGCCAAGGTGGGGACAGTGGTCCCTACCTGGAAGGCACAAGAGCAGTGGTTGTCTGTTCTGTGGAGCCCCTAGGGTCCTGCAAAGTTACTCTATTAGTTTCCTATGGTTACTGTAACAAATTTGCACAGATTTAGTGGCTTAAAACAATGCACATTTATCATCTTACAGCTCTGTAGATGAGAATCCAGTATGGGTGTCACTGGGCTAAAATCAAGGTGTTAGCAGGGCTGCATTCCTTCTGGAGGCTCTAGGAGAATATCCATTGCCTTGCCTTTTCCAGCTTCAAGAGGCCACCCATGTTTTTGGTTCGTGGTCCCCTTCATCCATCTTTAAAGCCAGCTATGTTGCATTTTTCTGACCATTCTTCTGTCGCACATCTGCCTCTCTCCTCTTCTGTCTCCCTCTTGCACTTTTAAGGACTCTTGTGATTACATTGGGCTCACCTGGATAATCCAGGATACTCTCCCCATCTCAAGAGCCTTAACTTGATCTGCAAAGCCCCTGTGGTCGTGTAAGGTGACATGTTCCCAGGCTCCAGGGATTATGTCACAGACATTCTTGGGGGGCCATCAGTGGTAGATGGCAATGGGGATTGGAGCAGACTTGGTTGGCAAGACTCTAGTTTCCCCACTTTCAGCTTTAACCAGGGCATCCTTATTCTTATCAAGCCTACCTATTGAGGTTTAATATAAAACTTTGTTCGAAAGTTTGAAAATGATTTACAAAGCCGCAAAAAAAATGAAAAGCCCGTGCTCTGATGCTCCTTTCTCATCTTCCTGAAAGTAGCCAAAAAAAAAAGTGCCTTTGCTTCGTGAGATGTCTGCATGTACTTAGGTGAGCAGACTGTGGCCTTGGCAGGGAGAGGTCGGCTGTCTCGCTTTCTCGTGTATTGAACATATGACCTTCCCTGCCAGAGCATTATGTGCTAATGAGCTTTGAATTACCCAGTGACCCTGCTGCCCTTCTGTCCACATGCTGTCCACAATGGTTTCCCACAAAATGTGTCATTTCACCTCTATTGGAGCACAGATGTGTGGAGCCCATTACAGATGACCAACTCGCTTTCTCTCGGTAGGACAGTAAGCAGAAGAGTATGCCTCAGAGGCTTCCAGAGAAATGGGGGCAGGAAGCTGAAATATAAATTTAATTCCACCAAACTTTTCCCCTTGGGAGAAGGCCTGTATGGCTTGGGCTCGCACATCAGAGCTCATCCAAAAGTCAGGGAAATCATTATTTGTGAAAGGAAGAAGACTGCCATGTAATAAAGGAGAACCTATTTTGAGTAGGAATTATGGTTGCATGTCTTACGAATTGTCCAAGTAAGGAGAGGCAAGCTCAGCTGCAGGAAGTTGTTCTCCCTCTCTCAGGAGCCCTGGATATGCCCATGTGTCCATCACTCATATTCATCTGCTGTCAGAGCATCCTCATCTGGAACTGAGGTGTGTGTCTCAGGCTTAGTGAGATTTGACTGGACGCCTAAGTAATTAATCAACCAAAAATCAATGGTAGAAAAAGAAGAGAAAGACAGTGAAGAAAAGGAGTTGAATGGGGAAAATCATTTTAATCTCATTAGCAAATTATGCCTTAGACCATTACTAAGTCAAGAAGCCATAAGCATCTCACGAAAGATGATTAACCTTGTGTATTTTAGGGGTCATTGAAATATGGGCTCATTTATTAGACCTTCTTGATGAAGGAGGGTTATTGCCATAATAAAGGGAGTTTTCTTCTTAAGCCTGTAGTTGATAAAGGCCCTGGGTCTGCTAAATGTAACCTATGCCAAGAGAGGTTAATGTATGACCTTGGGGCTCAATCCTGAACAAACAGTTCTATTTTAAGGAACAACTGGAGGGATTGTCCATAAGCCAGGAGAAGAGAATGGCCAGCAATTGCAAAGAGAAAATAAATACAAGCTCCTCCTGGAGACAGAATTTCTCTCGTGACAACTGGGCTCTGGCTGCAAATACTTCTAGGAAGAGGGCATGGTTTGGAGCCTGTAGTTTCCTTGTATTTAGATAAAGATTTTGAGGAGTCCAGAATGTGAATACCACAGCACGGGGAACATTTAAGCAAAAACAAAAACAAATTTATACCATAGGAAACTGGAGTGATCAGACTCTTTGGGGAATGGATGTTCTGGTTCATCAAGGGTTAAGAAGAAAACTCTATTTTTGATTTCAGTCTTTTATTTTCTGGAAATCTTTCAAAAATGTTTTACTCTGAACTGCAGCCCGAGTAAGTTACAGTGTGGTAAAGATAATTGCATCTTTTTTGGTGACTGAGGATCTTGTCTTGCCTTCAAGGTCATCACTCTGGACAGTTTGCAGTGTTTGCCCTATAAATATATGCACTCATAATACGGTGTGTGTGTGTGTGTGTGTGTGTGTGTGTGTGTGTGAAAGAGAAGAAGAGAGGGAGAGAATATTAGGCTGAATCTACAAATCCTTGATTGATCCCAGAATGTACTCCAGGAGTTGCTTAAAACAGTCAAACAAGCAAACAACTGATCTACAGGATTGCTTTACCGGGTGACACATTGACTTTATTTCTTTAGGGATTCTAGTGAATCCAGGTTTTCTCACACTTGAGAAGCAGCATGGCAGAGTGGAAGGGAAACACATGAGCTCTGGAGTCAGACAGATCTAGGTCCAAAGTCTGATTCTGGCATTTTCCACCTCTGTGACCTTAAACAAGTCACTATTTAATCTTTCTGAGTCCAAGTTTACTCATCTGAAAAATGAGGGGAAAAAAGTCTACCTGTGTTGTTGGGATTGAAGGTAATATATGTAGATTGTCCTGCACATAGAATTGCTTAATTCCTGATAACTATTATTATTTTTAGTTTTGCTTATAAGAACTAAAAAATCCAACATGGACAAGGCTGCTAACTGTCTTCTCTCCAAAACTCCTAAGAGAGTGTAAATATCAGGTGGTCCAATTTGGCACAGCAGTGGTCATCTAGATATCAGAGCCACGCAAGGCGTGGATGTGCCAGGTTTTGGAGTTCTGGAACAAAGCCTGCTCGCGTTTCATTTGGTGAAGTCTTTGTCAAAAATCACGCTTGATGGGGCATTCTGAAAAAAGCAGGTGGTTGGGAAGATGGGGAGTCCTGGCTGGTGACTGAGATAGCTAGCTGGTATAAGGTTGAATCAACGTGAGGTGGGACTAGGAGGACTGGCTTTGTCTCTACTTTGATGGCTTTTCCCAAACTTTATAGAAGGAAAAAGAAAATGAATTCATGGCAACTAGTGCAGCCCATTTAATTCCAGTCAAACTTCTGTGTTTCAATACCCACATCCATGCCTGGGCAGCCTCACAGTGGTGAAGCCAGCTCCTTTCTGGTGGCACATCTGGCCTAACAGCTGGGTGGCCAAGGAAGTGGATGGGTGGGGGGGCTAACAAAATGTAGGGTGCAATCCTCAGCTGCCTCATTTGCTTGTTTACCATCATCTGGAACATCTGGATTTGCACAGCACGGGGCAGCCCTTGGAAACTTCTTTAAATGCTGTCACCTTCCAGTGTTCCAGCTGGCTTCGTGGGGAGATAGCGGATGGACCAGGCTGGGAGCCTGGGATGCCCACAGGGGGGCCATTTGTTTGGAAAATTGTAGAATTAGTGTCAGCAAACTGCACATCCTGCTGCGATCTTCGATTGGGAAGTGGGGAAGGAGGGGGAGTGGGTTTTCAGAGGCACACCTGTGGCAGCTCCAGGCTACTGGGCCAAGGTGCTTGGCAGCCAAGAGAAAGAGGCAGCCAGGCAGCAGGGCAGGAGGGGAAGAATTTAACACTGTTACACCAAGTTTTGAAAGATTTTTTTGGTTTGGTTTTGGTTTTGGAGGAGTGTGTTAGCTAGCTGACAGTATGTGTATAGCACAGTCATTAAAAGCAAGTCAGATCTAGTCAGATCCCCCCGGACTGCCCCATGCTAGCTGCTTGACCTGGGCAGGTTATTTGCCCCCTTCCAGCCTGTTGGCAAGAATCAGCTGTAATGCAAATGTGCAGGATCTGGTGGCAAAAAATATTTGTCGACTTTTAGGTGGAGTCCAGTGCAGTGAGAAGTTCCTACATTAATTGGCAATATTAATGGTTTCCACATCTATTAAATGAGAACAATATAGGGTGCTGTGAGATGAAATACCGAAAGCGCGTAGCATAGCGCCCTGCTCCCAGTAAGTGTTTGGTAAACTGTGACTGTTGTGTGAGAGACTGACCATGGTGTAAGCTCATGATGGAGCAGCTAAGTCGTGGACTCCATAGCTAGCCTCCAGAGTTTCGGGTTTGGTCCTGCCATGATCAGCAGTGTAACTTTAGGAACGTTAAGTTCTCTGTACAGTGGTGTCTTCATATGTAAAATGGGGATGATCACACTACTTACCTCAAGGGCATGTTGTGAGGGTTAAATGAGTAAGATGAATGAGTTGGACACTGCCCGGGTATAGTGGGTGCTGTGTGAACGCTCCTCCTGCTCACCAAGCCTCTTTGTCTTCCCCAGAATCTGGCTGACATCTCTTCCTGGATTATCTCCTTTGCTGTTATTCTTGGGGAGTTTATTGAGGACATGGCAGTGCAGAAAAGCTAATTGTTTCACATTAAGAGTGTCCAGGGCACTAGGATAAAGCACAAGCCCAGTGCAGCACCTGTGGGTGCTCATGTAGCAGGTGCCCTGTCTGTGCATCTTCTGCAGGGCGTCCTTGAGGGAGAAGGTCATGAGTATGGCCACTCCCACTAGGAGAGCAATCAAACCTCCCTCCAAGGTCACAGAGAAAGTCCACTTCCTCCTTCCAGCTGGAGGCCCTGGCTCTGTCCGTTCCCTCCAACACCGCTGTCTGGTACCAACGTTGACAAAGCACTTTGGACATTAAAATAAAAAAGTCCTATTAATACTAAGTCCAGACAGAAACACTCCTTTCCCCTAGCCCAAAGGAATCTCTGCTAATGCATTTTAATTCTAGCCCATCACTTCCACTCTTCTGCCAGCCTAGGCTCAACTGAGAGGCCAGCACACCTAGCTCTATCTTGCTATAACGCTCCCTTCCAGACTGTTTGGAGGAATTGGCTTTAATGCAAATATGTGTGATCTGTGCCCAGAGAAAAGAAGCAAGATGTCAAAAAAGGTCACTTGCTTTTAAAGGGAGCCTAGCGTAGTGGGAAATTCATGCATTGCTTGCCAGAGTTAATGGTTTCAAGGCTGAGTGCTAAAAATAGCCATCAGTGGTTACACTCTGGTTCCCAGAGAGCCCAGTCCCCTGATTGACCCAACTGTGTGGATGTTTTCTGACTGTGCCAGTGCCCATCCGGACTCAGCCCCATGAAGGACAGCTCTGGCTGCTATGACCGCCACATTGGAGTGGACTGCTCAGACGGCTTCAATGGCGGCTGTGAGCAGCTGTGTCTCCAGCAGATGGCGCCCTTCCCGGACGACCCCACCTCGTACAACATCCTCATGTTCTGCGGGTGAGTTGAGCTGCCCGTGAGGCCGACTGTCTTGCTGGGATGCGGGACTCTCAGTGCTAAAACCAGGAAAGTAAATCTGAATGAACTGGTTACCCTAGGCCAGCTCTCAGACTCTGAGGAAAGAGCCTGGAGGACTGGACCAGGAGCACTTTTAAAGTCAGAGTTGGGAGGACCCTCATCCACCCCTGTAGATGAGGAAACTGACTGCAGCTATTGCCTGCTTACACCAGAATTTTCCAAACTGTGTTTTGTGGAACAACATTAATTAGGTGTTTTGTGACAAAAGGATTCCATTGTCCAAAAGCTTGGGAAAACTAATTAATTATCAAAGAAGGAGAGGGCGACATCTTTGGAGGAGTGGAAGCATAATTAAATTCTGCCCTCAAAGTCCCAGCGTTTTGTGAATGCGGCCACCTTCCCTCAGACTAGTAATTTCTGAGTGTGGTTAAAGGGCCCCAACTGTGGATCACCTCTTTCACCCACCTCAGTTCGTTTGTTCTCAGGATAACTCTGTGAGGGAACAGGGCAGGCAATGCCACCCCATTTTACAGATGAGAAAACTAATGCACAGCAAGGTTAAGTGACTCCCTCAAGTCTGGGCAGCTGGTAAGTAGGAAGATTAGGATTAGAATTCAGGCCCTCCTTGGTTTTTTAAAAATTCTGGGGTTCCCTCAAAATTTAAATTTACACCACTGACTGGAATTATGTTTAAAGACATTTTCGTGTTATATTTATAAAGTAAATAAAGATTTGGCCCATTCATCTATGCCCATAATTTGCTTGCTGTCCTTCCCTCTGCTTTCCTTCCTCCCTCCCTTCCTCCTCCCCCTCACCCCCTTCCTGCCTGTCAGGGAGAGTGCTTACTTTAGGCCTCACACCATGCTGGCCACTAGGCTACAAAGATGAGTGACATGTAGTTCTTGCCCTCAAGGATCTCACAATCTAATAGGCTTGCAATGGAAATCAATATTTATAATAATAAAGCTATGCCGATTGTTGCTAAAAGCCAGTGCCTGCTGAATAATCATGAAAAGATGATTTGGTGGAGTAGTAATGTTATTTTATTGTATTTCATTTTATTTTATTTCTTTTCAGTTGAGCAATTTTCATATTCAGTTTCTTGTAAAATCTCATTCCATAAATGGGAGCTTGATCTACATTTTAATGTCTCTCTAATGTTATCATTATGGTTGACCCACTTCAATTAATAGAGGTAAATTCAGCCAAAGTTGCATAGCTTTATTTATTTCATAAACATGTATTTGAGCATGAGTTTGTGCAGAGAAGCTAGTTACGTGTTAGGTATAGGAGAGACGCCAGGATTCGAGACCTGGTCTCTGCCCTCAAAGGTGTTCACAGTGGGACACGTGGCCGTGAACACCAAGGAGAATGGGGGAGATGGGGCAGTGTTGGGAGGGGAAGCTGTCAAGACGCTCAGGATGGACTGAGAGGGAACCAATCACCTTCAAAATTCTTTCCAGAAACACTATGTTATGGCTCAAGGAAGGAGCCCCTTGACTTTCTTGTCCCAGACTTAGGCTGGTGCCATAGAGTCCTTTGTGGGTCTCAAGTCACATCTGCCCACACTAATGCAGTAGATCCCTAACTGGACTTTCTTTCCTACTTCAATCAGAGTTTGGTACACGTGTGTATTTAGCGCTCTCCAAGCCACTCTATATAGCCTGCCAAAAGAAGTCCTTCATTTGAGGTTCTTATATCAAGACCAAATCACATGCACTTATAATTAAAGAGCTCTCCTCACAGCTGTTCACACAAATGTATAAATGGTAAATGGGAAAAATGAACAGTTAAAGTGGCATTAGCCTGGGCCCATTTGTACCTCTGCTAATAATAATGACAGCAGCATTTAATGAGTCCCTGCTGTATGCTAAGCACAGTGGAAGTTCCTTAAGTTCATCATCTCACTTAATCTTCTCAACAACCCAGTGAAGCAGCTAGTTTTTCCCCCTTTTACAGATGTGGAAACTGAAGCTCAGAGAGTTTAATCAACTGACCCAGTAAAGGGCAGTGTCATTGCCATTACAATATTCCTTCTCACCACTTAAAACTGTGATTATTTATTCCGCTATATAGAACAGAGATTTTTATCTTATTACAACAGTTATCTCAGATAGTAATAAATGCTGTGTTTTAATGTCATGAGCATCTATAAATTGTAAATCTGATATATTTCTAAGAAGAGACCCAAATTAAATTAATATGCTTTTTAAACAACAGCTTTATCAAAGTAGTTCTTACTTGAACTAACAAATTATATTCTTCTCAATATAACTACAAATAAGGTCAGTTAATGATTTAAGGGTCACTGGCCCACATTGACCAACCTTCGTATCGCTCTTCCATTAAAGCAACTACATGCTTAATGGGGAGGACGCCAGGGAGGTGTTCACACTGCGTGCCCTAGCGTCTATTTAGTTCAGGGAGGCTACTCCGCATGGAGGGGGAGTTAATATGGGTTGATCTTGTGTCAAACAGAACATTTCTTAGTTGACTTGTCACAGGACCAGATTAGAAGGTTATTAATTTCTTAGGCACAGTGTCATTCCTTTTGCAGCCTAATTACCCTCCAAACAAATGCAGGGTCTGGCCGTATAGATGGTTCTGGAGAAAGGCTCTAGAATATCTTGGATTTAAATGTGTTAACTCATTTACAAGCTTATCTCCAGTGATTCTTACCCTGACCTTTCTGGGAAATCATGCACTTATCAGAGGAGAGAGCACCCCCAAGCTCTGAAAGCACTTATCTATCTGCAAAGGAAAAGTGAGAGGTTCTGTGTGATCACATAATGGAAGGAGGCTGGGTTTATAAGCTTAAGAAACTGAGTTATAAAGGGGACAAGATCAAACTGGGATATTCATAATCTTTGGCCATCCAACACTCTCCCAAAGGCATTTCTTCCCAGTCTATTGGGTTGAGATGACTGCACAGCTCATTGATGGAATAACTTCTTATCTTGAGTTTTCCACCGTGTCAGGTGCATCGAGGATTACAAGCTTGGTGTGGATGGACGCTCTTGCCAACTCATCACTGAGACCTGCCCAGAGGGAGGTGACTGTGGGGAAAGCAGGGAGCTTCCCATGAACCAGACCCTCTTTGGGGAGATGTTCTTTGGTTACAACAACCATTCCAAGGAAGTAGCTGCTGGACAAGTGCTGAAAGGCACATTCAGGTGAACCTCATGTCCATAGAACTGATTATTCAGGGCTGTTGATGGGTCTTCTTCCTGGAAGAGCTATAAAGTCAAGATAAAGTTTTATATCTTGGAGGAAGATAAATGTGATCCTAAAAGGATAGGTTATGTTCTCTCCCAAGATCTTCTCCAAGTCTACATTCCTCCTTTCAGAATCTGAGACCCATGCTTCTTCTGGGTGAACAGTAAAGTGTTAAATAAATTTTTATCTTCCCCGGGCAGGGACTGCAATATTTTCCATGAAAGCTACCCCTAAATGCTCAAGTTCTGTTTTCCCTCTGAGTGGAAGAATCAGTGTGTGAGTCAATCTAGAATATCAGTCCTCAAGTATGGTGACAGGGTCCCTGAGATCCTTTCAGGGGACATTCAAGTTCCTGCCTTTTCCAGCTACAGACAGGCTGGATTTTCTTCATATCGTTCAACTCAAACAATATGTTGCAGTAAGTTGAATGCAGAGGCAAGAATTCAACTGTCTTCTAAGTCAGACATTTTTAAAACTTGCAAAAAATGTAAAATAATGCCACTCCTTTCATTTTTCATGGCATATGTTAATATTTAATAAATTTATCATTGTTATTTTTAAATGAGTTAATATTTTTAAAATTTCTCTTTCAATTTATAATATGGTAAATGTTAATAGATATAATTCATGTAAACAAAAGCTACTTGGGGCCTTCCATTATTTTTAAGAGTGTAAAGAGGTCCTGAGAACAAAATATTTCAAACCATTGATTTAGAATATTTCTAGGAGATTTTCCGTTTGATCTCTGTCCCTGTTCTGTCTTAGGCTATTTGAATACATCTTCCCCAGAACCCAGGCTGCTTTCCAGGAGATGATGATGATGATGAAAGTGTTATAATAAGGACCAGCAGTTGATAGCAACCTGGGCCTAGGCACTTATGAGCAAACTGAGAGTGAATTTCCGAGCCAGTTGTTAGAGTCAGTTGCTTTTTCTGTTACAGACAGGAGACTTTATTAATAGTTCCTCTTTTAGCCAAAGGCAAGCAGTGAGGCGTCATAACTAATCTTGTGATGGCTGGGGTCTTCACTGTAGTCTACAAATGAGACTGAGTATGTCCAGATCTTGTGGACAGAGGGTCAGGGAGTAGGGACTGGGATGTGAGGGAGGGAAGAATATTTTTATCTTTTGAGTAGACTTTTTCAGCTGGTTTATTTCTCATTTCCCTGAACCCTCATCCTACCTCTCACACCTATGTCTTACTCCAGGCATGTACGTCAAGTAGAGTTCAGGGGGAGGGGAACATTTGATCCGGAAAGAATTTTTTCATTGTGGGTTGAGATATAGATTGCCCACCAAGGAGTGGGGTTCACCTGAACACTCAGAAATGAAGGTCTGCCTCTGTTTCCAGGCAAAACAACTTTGCTCGAGGTTTAGACCAGCAACTGCCAGATGGTCTTGTGGTGGCCACTGTCCCCTTGGAGAATCAGTGCCTGGAGGAAATCTCAGAGCCCACCCCCGACCCCAACTTCCTGACTGGTGAGTGTACCTCTCACCCTTACTTAACTAGCAAAAACACGCAGCTCCCTATGGTTTCATAAAATCAAGACTCTTGACCTCACTTATTTTGATTTCAAAGCCAGTGATTTCCTTGATACACGATAAAAACTCAGTCCTAAAACTGAACACTAATGGGATTATTTGTCAGTAAAATTGCCAATATTATTATGTAATCATCTGCAAAATGGTCATAATAATACCTTTCCCTGCTAGTCTCATCAGGATGCTTTGAAAACAAATGGGATAATTGATAGGTAAGAGTTCAGAGCTCTCAGTGGATTAGCGGAAGTGACCAGGTCACAGTAGAGGCAGAGAGAAGGTAGATTGCTACTATTGCCTAAATATCTGACACTGGGACTGCTGGGTTCCCTGGCAAGTACTTAGGGAGCAGTGTGAGGGACTAGAAAATGATAGAGCTTTGTTGTCAAATGACCCTGGGTTTGAATCCCGGCTCTGCTTCCTTCTAGCTGTCTGACATTAGACAATACAGTCTCTAGGGACCTCATGGCCCTCATCTTAAGATGGGAATAATACCACCTGCCCCTCAGTGCTGTTTTGAGCCCAGTGGCACTCTTCCCCTGGGCTCTTGATGGAATGAAGGTGTGAGTTGATTGGAAGAGGCAGGAATCTCAGGGGATGCTTCTCCTTTCTGTGCCTCTGTAGACCCCTAGTTAGCACCTCCTGGACCAAAGAAGACACATCAGAGGGTTCCATGGACCCATAAGAGGCAGCCAACCAGGAACCCAACATCACTTGCTAGAAGGCTGGACATGAGCTCAATTCCACTGCTGGCTTTGTTCTTTTCTCCATTACTTCTCTCCCTTTCTCATTCTATTTCTTTCTTATTCTATACCTTTCTCTCCCTTTTCCTTCCTATTGAAGAATTGATTGAGCTGAGGGTAAGCCTCTTTCAGATGTCAGTTATGTTCAAAACTTTAGCGTAGACCTGAATGGGATTAGAAGGAGGTCTGTCTGAGGTAGTAGAGTACAGTGATTAATAGCATAGGCTCTGGTGCCTGACAGCTGGGCTCAGCTCTTCACTGGCTGCGTGATCTTGGACAAGTTGCTTACCTTCTCTGTGCCTCAGTTTTTTTTACCTGTAAAAATGGATATTATAATACTGTCTTCCTTGAGGGATTCATATACAGAATAAATAAATTAATATTTGTAAAGTTTTTACAACAGTTTCTGATACATAGTGAGATATACGTTTGTTAAATAAATAAATATACCAAGGAAGAAAGAAAATATGAACATTCAAACTACCAAATAGTGTTTTCCTATAGAAGAAGGAGAGGGAGCAAGAGAGAAAACAATTAGATATATTCTGGCCCAGAAATAAATCTCATTGAAATCAGTTGCCCTCTGAGAGACTACACACACACACGCATGCATGCACGCACGCATGCACGCACACACACACACACTCAACTGAAAAAATTAAAATGCAGCCTCTGGGCATATCCCTAAAGCCTACATCTCTAGTGTTAGGGAATCTAGTTTTCCTGTTTCCATGTCTTTTGCTGAGAACACTTCCCTTGCGAGTGTAAAATGCATTGTAAAGGAGGTGTGAGATGGCACACACAAAGAGGACAGGCTCCTCACCAACAATAAACTACCTGGCTTCTGTTTAAAGAGCCACTGGGACCTCACATATTATAACTCATTGTGGAGGTGAGGAGACTGCTTCAGGCACCAGGCTGGGTGGACACGGAGTAGTCCAGGATGCTACCTGAAGATTTTGGGAGGTGTGGATGGTTAGATCTGAGAAACATCAGAAGAACCGTGTTTGAATCTACATCTGTGGAAATAAGGAAAAGACCCAAACTTGGTCCTCATCCACAATAGAAACTTCTTTCTCCCTCGTGCCCTGGACCTCTCCTAATTTGGCATATTGGAGGCAAAAAGAGTAGAAAGATGTCCTTATGGGGTCACTTCTATTTTTCATGGCCTTGAGGAAGTAAAGTCTAACATTCTTAAAAGTGTAGAGAGAACTCCCTTGACTTGCTACTTTTCTACCCAGCCTTTGTTTTTAACCTACTTTGATTAAGAAGTGGTCCCAGTTAGACCAAGAGCATGCATTTCCTTTGATGTGCGAAGGAATCAGTTTTGTTTTTTTAAAAGCCCCAAGTAACTAGAAGAACCAGTTAAAGAGATGCTTGACCAAATTTCCTCCATATTAGCTTTCTAGTTCTGGTAATATTTTAATTGTGTCTTTCCTGAGAATCATACAGAAAATATTGTATTGTGTCTCACTATCTGCTATTATAGGTCATAATCCCCATAAACCTACAAGCTTAGAAGATTTTAGAACTAAAGTGATCTTCAGAATCTTCTATATCAGTATTTCCAAGCATATTTTTTTCTCATGAAAAACCAGTGATCCACTCATCAATAGGTTCTGTCTTCAAATATGTTTGGAAAGACTGTAGTGTCTACCTCTCGGCAATTTCCAATACCTTAGCATAGAACAGGTTCCCAAAAGTCCCCAGGAAAGAAATCACTTTTACTTTATTTAATCCAGAAATTCCCAAACCTTTATTTAACTAGAGAATCCTTTTACATGTAACAGCTATTTCCATTTTTCAGAATTATTGGTTTGAAGAACATACTGGAAAAATACTGATTTATGTGTTTTTTCTTGCTGATTGCTTCCTCTTCATCAAAATAGATCTCGAGCTTCACCAGCACTTTTGGTGTTATAAGTTGTGTGGAAATAAATGAAGACCAACCAAATGAAAACAGACAAAGTGCTATTTATGCACAGCTTGCTATAGCAGGGGAGTCAGCCACCATCACTTGTATTTTGGCAGAGACTGAAAGGCAGGCAGAGGAGTGGGAATGCTTTAGAGTGGAAAAAAGGGAGGGCTTCAGACATGCCCTGACTGGAGGCTGTTGGCATGTAGGTGGGCCAACTAACCAGGAGTGAGGCATTCTATATAGGTGATTAGAGGACATAGTTAACTTTCTCTGGTTGGACTTAAGTTGGCACCAAGAACAAAAATTAGGGAAGCTGTCAGTTATTAATAAAGTGCTGGTCATTTTGGCCCAATTGTTACAGGGGTTATTGTTTGACTTCTTGGACTGGTTGCTAGAGACAGTGGTCTGACTTCCTACAAGTCCTACTTACAGATGGGAAACTCGCTTCTTTGGCTGGTTACTGTAGGTAATAGGTTGGTTTCTTGGACTGGTTGCTCCAGATTGTGGGTCAGAGTTCTGTTTTTATGTGTGGTCTGTCCGTTGTCCATTTATGTTTTTAGTCTTGTAGTTGAGAAAAAGAGAGTCCAGAGGCAGACCAAGGAGGTAGAGGAGACTGCTGGCCACATTAGTGGGCCTGTTGGGTGGCACAATTGCTAAATCTATGTGAAGATTTAGAGTTTCTGAACTCTTTGGAACTTCTTCAAGGTCATCCAAAGGAAATGGACTCTTGGCTTTAGAACTTTGGGAATAATACATCCCCTTGACATTTCAAATAAATTACAGGAGAAAGCTTCTTTCCTTCCTTCCCTTTCTTCCTTTCTCTGTCTCTTTCTCTCCCTGTCTCTCTCTCTCCCTGTCTTTCTCTCTCTCTCTCTGTCTTTCTCTCTCTCTCTGTCTCTCTCTCTCTCTCTGTCTGTCTCTCTGTCTCTCACTCTCTCTCTCTGACAAAATACATTCTTTCCTGAGGAAACATAGTCAGAAATATTTTGTTTGAAAAAAGAGTCATTCAGAAATGTCTCGAACAGTAGTAACATAAAATAAAAAACTAGAGCTGACTGCGTGTCAAGGACACACTGAAAAAGAATCGTATGACTCAGCAAGAAAATATATTTTAAAAAAGTACCTTTCTTTTTAACTAATGGCAATATTATCTGTAAGTGGGCACAGAACAACATTTCTCGAGCACTGACAGTTATGTAACTGTTTTCCTGACTGTGGTGGAGCGTAAGTGCACCCAGTGGAATTGTTCTTCAGCAGTTAAGTAATGGAGTTCACTTGTTTGCCTCATCCTGGGTGAATGTGGGTACTGTCATCCCTTCCCACCCCTGACATCCCATCCATGCTTCCTTTATTTTTTCTTTCCTCTGTTGTTCTGAACTAAAGCCTAGGAATTTATAACAAAAGCATCAATTAAGAAATGTTTGCACAATTAGGGGTGAAGAGAGAGGTGAGGAGGGAGGGGGAGGATGACAATGTTATGGAAGCCATATGTATGTATACAGCACTTTATCTTTTCTCAACGGACTTTTATACCCATAACTTTGTTTTGTTCCGACAACCTACCTGTAAAGTAGGCAGGATGAATACTACTACCCCCACTTTTCAGATACGAAAACTGAAAGAAATGGATCTCCTAGCCCAAAGTCACACAGCTGGCTGGAATAACAGAATTGAAAAAGAAGCGAGAGATCATCTCAGCTAAGCCTCTCACTTTCCAGATGAAACAACTGACATCCAACAGGTACCCTAGCCGGGTCACCAGAGAGGAAGCTCAGGCCAGTGACGGGCGGGCAGAAAGTGCCCCCTGCAGCAACATGGCCATTCTTAGAACTCCAGCCTCCTGATTTTCTGTTCATTTCTTTTCCCACGAGGAATTCAATTCAATTCAATTCAAGGGAACGTTTTCTAGTATATTGAAACATCTTCATTTATTGTGCTTGCTTTTTTTATTGATAGACTTTTGGAAACAGCAAGCTGATGAGCTGACATAACTAGAGAATGCATGTTACGTAGAACAGTTCTACCAAGCGTGCACATTTCACGCTCTGATGAAACGTGCCTTTGAGGTGTGTGACTGGAGTCTGACACTTGTGAAGTTAGAATTTCATTTATATGCTTTTACAATTAACATAAAGGCTAAAAGCCAGAGTAGGTAGTAGTATGACTGTCGTCACAAAGCTTAATGTTAACCCTCAAAGAAGAACATTTGAAAGAAACAAGTACTACAAACCTTCTCTTAGTTTAACTTATCTTTGATTGTCTGAGACAAAATTTAAGCAATTGATTCACTAAGCACCTCTCCTGACCTTTTCTCTTTTTGCCTTACCAATAATTATTCCCATATGATTCACACAGAAATGGAAATTTGGCAATTACTCAGCTAATTTGATCAGAGTTGACAAGCAGCTAATTAATCCTGCCCACTTTTCATCCAGTTTAGGTAATAAATTAGTTGATTTAGCCTGAAGGGAACATGGGTCAAAATGGCAAGATAATTCACTATGCATGTATTAGTGCCATTATATTTATACATACACAATATCTATCTATCTATCCATATTTATTATATATATTGCCATTACATTTGCATATTTACATATATAGATACATACACGTATGCCTATGTGTATATGTGTGTATATATATTTATTCCTATAACGTACACACATGACAAACATTAGGCACAGAAACGAAGCTAAAATTGGTTTTCTAAACTTAGCAAGGTGATTTTTTCTTATTTCCTGTGGCCTAATTATTTTGTTTCTGTAGCAGTTTATATTTATAGTAATGGCTAGGATTTAAATAGTGTGCCATACTTTCTCCAAGGTGCTCAAGCAAAAACAGCCCATTATAACATCTCTTAAGAGGCTACAGGATGTGTTTATTGAGAGGGACCTTGGACAAGCAACTCGGCTTCTCAGAGCCTCAGTTCTCCCATTGGTCAAAGGGGGACCACAAATAAAGTGTCTATCACAGTGTCTGGCACTTAGACGGTGCTCAATACTGGGCCATCCCTGCCCGTTAGTGACCTAATCATGCTGACACTGTCCCTCCTGATAAAGAAGAAATAGCATTATCAGCTTCAGAGTAATTAAAACTTAAATACTGAACACAAATCAGTTAAATGGGACAGAAAAATCAATGTTATCAGGTATGTGAGCTGAGTCAATTACTGCAACTATTAAAGAGAGTAAAAATCTGGTGTGTTACAGGAAGCTGAGAGTTTCGTATGAATGCATTAAGGGAATATTATAGTAGAATGGTTAAGAACCCCAGCCCTGCCTCGGACACATCTGAAACTCCATCCTGGCTCTACCTGGTGGCCTAAGGCCCTTATGCAAACATCCTTTCTGAGTCTCAGTTTCCACATTTATAAAATGCAAATAATAACACCTATCTCGCCAGGATCTAATGACTTTATATATGCAAAGTGCTTAGCAAAATGTCTGGCACAGAGGAAGTGTTCAATAAATGATAGCTGTTGTTACTGTGATTCCAGAAATTCTCTCCATCAAAGCACCCTTTCTCATTCTCTCACAATTACACCCCTAACCTGGTTGACTTGGGACTCGTGAATCAGTCGCACACGCTGAGCCGCGTCTTCTCTGTCCCCAGGGATGGTGAACTTCAGTGAGGTGTCTGGATACCCCGCGCTGCAGCACTGGAAGGTGCGGTCTGTGATGTACCACATCAGGCTCAGCCAAGTGACCGTCTCGCAGGGTGAGCACAGCAGCGAGCCGTCCCTCCCCCCTGCTCCCGGGGCTTGGCATTCCTTTCCAAGGGCGCAAGCCTTTTATCCTGTTGTTAAAGATGCAGTCTGAAATGTAGCCACTCCGTGAGGTACATAACCCGTTCACTCGGAGTCACACTTGAGCGCAAATACCTGGAATCGGATCGTTTTCTAAGTAGAGATTACGTTGCAAGTTTTATCTTGGACTATCGAAGAGATGCACAGGGCAAGGCGGGAACTAATGAAGATAAACACCTACTTTGTTATTTTTCCTGGGGTCACACAGTGGGTAAAGAGGGTACGCAAGAGCAGATTTTTTTATAAATTGATGGAATAAAACTTCCAACTGCATAGAGCATAACTTAGAGTCTCTGTACAATGAAAGAAATAAGGGAAAGAGAGCAAGAAAGAAAGGGAGGGAGGAAAAGTAGAAAACAGCTTATGGTTCCTAATATATTTGGGGGGCGGGGGGATTTATCTATATCTACATCTAGTAAGTTAAGGAGTAGTGAATTCTAAAGCTTAGGACAAATTGTTCCAAAACAGAACTGTGAGGCCCCTTGTACAAGTATTCTTTAAATTTTAGTGGTAAATGCCTTGCATCAAGATTTTCCTAGCACTTGAGCAATTCCAATGTGCAATTTGAAATGAAAAAATTTCAACAAATAGGGCCTTAATATAGGTACACATCTCTATTCCACCTCATCCCCTTGTACTAGGAGAACATTACTCAACTCCATCCTCTGAGGCTACCTAAAGAATGTACCAGATGTGAAGTTTATGTCATAGAGTCTGGCTTCTCCGTGTTGGATGGAGGGTAACTAGAGCCAGAGGATATGTTGGCACAGGGTGACAGACAAGGAGAGGGACCTTAGGGAGGCAATAGGGAGACAGAGCCTTAGGGCCAACAGGAGAGACATAAAGGGTAGGGGACGGATAGAGAATTATAAAGAGAAGTGAGACATATACTCACAAAAGGTAAAGCTTCGTGCATAGAGAAAGAAAATGCATGAAGGATATAGAACATTTCCATAGACATGAAAGGACTTGAGAACTTTTTTTTTTTCACATGAAAGAGTTCTTGGCAAGAAGGGATTGGGATGGGGATCTTACTGAAGTAAACTCTCCTGGTGCAGAAAACACCTGGAAAGAACTAAGCTACTCCTCATTCCAGGGAAACACGGCAATAGAGACTCGGACCTGTTCACATGCTGAGTTTGCACAGGTGCTGTGCACATCAGGGGTTGACAATGGTTATCTCTGCTGCCACATGCCTTTCAAAGCCACACGTGGTATCCCGGGTGATGTGGACTTCTGCACTTGGGGTCTCATGTCTGGGCCAGGCTCTGCCTTGTCCTGATAGGACACAGGTGTGTAGAAAGGAAGGCTGAATAAAGCTGGCCAGGTTCAGAAGGTACTGGATTTGGAAAATTTGCCATGGACTATCTTTCTGACAAGTATAACTTTCTTAAAGAGGGAAAGCAAATCCAAGGAGCTTTGGCTGGGGAGGAGGGTGAGGAGGCAGATAGATCCTTTCCTCCATTTGCCATTTCCCAATCCTTATACTTCGGATTTTCTGAAATAAATATAAGCAGTGTATTAGTGACTTTTCTTACCTTTCTTCTTCCATTATCTTCCCGTTATCAATTTCTATGTTTGAAGACAATATTCTACAAACTTTTTTGGTTTACACCGTGACCTTGTGCATATGCACACTCCCACATACACACAACAGAAGTTTCATGAAGTGATAACTTCATCTTACGATATGAAATGTTCTCTGCTAGTATTTGTGTTTCTATTTTAGACTACGCTATTCTTTTTCATTTTTTTCAAGTGCTATTATTTGAGCTCACAAAATTGATTTAATGTCATGACTTGTGATTTGGAAAAAAAAAACATTGCCTTAAGGAGGGGTGTAGTGGGGATTTGGCAGTGTTCTGCTTAACTTGCACGCAGTTAACAACATAACCAACTGGCTTGAAGAGATTTTCATTTAGGAACTGAAAAGTGTGATTTAGCTAAATGGAAATACTCACCTGATTGTTTCAGCCTACTCTCCAAATCACTTTGGGACCCACGGGCACTTCCCCATTTGAGGCTGAACGGCCGCGGAATCCAGATACCCACATTGTGAGTCCTCACTCTCGCTCTTGGGTGATGTTTCTCTACAGCCCTCAGCAATGCTCTCCACTCCCTGGATGGGGCTACGTCTCGTGGGGATTTTGTGGCCTTGTTGGACCAGTTTGGCAACCATTACATCCAGGAAGCTAGCTACGGCTTTGAGGAGTCCTGCTCTATCTGGTACCCAAACAAGCAGGTCCAGCGGCGACTGTGGCTGGAATATGAAGACATCAGCAAAGGTGAGTGACAGACACATCAGCAAATTCTACACCCCATGCAAATACTGGCTGCATAGGTGCAATGCATAGGACCAAACTTAAGGAGTGTGTAGGCGCAGAACTAATTCAGGCATTGCCTCAATGCCCTGTGGCCATCCTTAAAATTGTCAAGATTTGCTTGCTAAAACCAAATCTCAAAATGAGAGTATTTGGGGAAACTTTAGATGCAGGATGGGATCTAAACTGTATGGTCACTGTGTTAGTTATCATAGAGAGAGTCCTCTACAGGTGTTTACCAGTCCCCGTGTGTTCTGCTACGATAGCAAGGGCGAAGTATTAGACTGCTCTTATGGGGTAGGGGAGAAGGAGGAGACTGTTGCAGTCTCCCCCTGCTTCCTGCCCCCAGCAATCCCAGGCTACACTGGCTGGCAACGCCACACGGTAACTACATAGTAAACCCCTTCTCACTCCATCCTGCCCTGACTTGAGGCCCATTTTTCCTCCTGATTTGTGCTATGAGGAAATCTCCATTGGCCCAGGTGTTTATACAGCTCTGGATAACAGCCTCACAAATAAATCCTTGTCTACCATTTGATGGCAAGTTAGTATTCAGTCCAAGTAAGTATGAGAAATTGGAATTTTTCAAACTTTCTGCATTCACCTTCTGATGTAGGAGGAGTACGGGAAGGTAAATTTGTATTCTGATCAACCAAGACTGGTTTAGAATTGCCATTCATGGAATTTCTTCTCCTGAGCTTATCCCCACGGCCAGCATTCTGATGAGGCCAAGTTATGGATGTGTGAGTTGCTAAAGAGCAAGTGATGAAATTAGCACAATGAAAACTTGAGAAGTAGGTCATCCTAAGATTTAATGATCAAGAGTTCCTCTGAGAAAAGGGACCCTCTGCTGTCAGCAGTGCTGTAGTGGGCAACAATGTGCCCCTGTGGCTGAGAGGCTCTTGGTTCTCTGAGCTCTGTACAAATTCCTGCTTTGTCTTGCTTAAGAGGTAGCAGAGGCATGAGAGCCTCTCTTCTGGCAGGGTATTTTCTTCCAGAAGTAGCAAGAGGCTTGTGTCTGGGCTGCAGTTGCTGCAGGCATTTCCCCCCAAGCCCTGATTCCTCTAAACTCAAAGACACACTCACAGGCTGCTGGTATCCCTTCGAACTTCAGTATCTTAAAATTGTTCTGATTCCAGTGTGCCAAGAAAGGATTGTAATGTAAGCAAATGTAGATAAGACCAGTTCCAGCTGGCAAAGCTTTCTTATGTTTCCGTGCCAGAGCCTGGTGATTGAACCAAAGGGCTAAATCCTCCTCTTTTTCTGTTGGCCAGTGGTTCAAGGATTGCCAGGGAGATGAGAGTCTGACCTTCCCCAGAACTCCTGGTTCTACCCATTGCTTCTCTCTTGAACATTGCAGTCTTCTTAAGGTTAAACACTGAGCCAAGGAGGGAAATTTGTCCATGACCTTGGCTCTATGCCCCATTCCTCTTGATCTCAAGCCATTCTTGCCACTCAGGAGCTAGTTTTGTCATAGTCTGTTGACTTTAGTTCTTATAAATATGATGTATACAACCCCTTCCTTGTTATTGATCTTAAAAGATATTCAAACATTTTAGTATGTCTGTTTTGATCTCTCTCAATTGTCCATGTATACCATCCCCCACTCCTGAGTCTTACCTCCACGTCATAGGGTTTATCTTTCTTATTGTTTGGTCTGATTCTTACTCTTAAATATTTTTCTCCTCCCTAGGCACTAATTTCCTTTTATTCCAAAAGCCTGCATAGAGGCATGCTACTAATAAAGAATTATAAGTGCATAAGACAAAGGAAGATTGTTTCCGCTTTTCTGCACTCTGAGAGGATCGGTCCAGAATGGGATTTAGGCACTAGTGGTGACAAGTGTTCTGAGAGGACTATACCTACCATGTCATAAAAACAACACCTTTTTGGACTCGAGTCCTTTGATTATATGTTCTTGCCTGTTCTAACTTTAAAAACCTTCCTATAGTGAAAAGGTTTCTCTGTTCTTTATTTTTGTGCGTATGATCAGATACCTAAAATTGCTTATGGATTGAATAGGAAAGGAGGTTGATCAGGGATGAAATGAAATGGAAAGAGCACAGGACTTAGGGTTGGGATGCTAGAATCAGCCAGGTAACTTTTGTTTAGTAAATTAACTATCAGGACTTCACCTGTAATGCCCTCTGTGGTCCCTTCCAGCTCTGGAGGATTATGGATCCAAGAGTCCCTTTTATATGAGAAGCTTTCTCAGGTCAGGCATTTGAGCAAAGATTCTCCTCGTCTCTCTACAAATCCCTATGAAACTTCTCAAGGGTAGGTTCCATACCTTATTCAACTTTAAACTCCCAGAGTCTAACACAGAACCAGCACATGGTAAGCCCTCAACAATTGTTTATTGTTGTTGTTGTTGCTGCCATTGTTGTTGTTGCTGCCATTGTTGTTAGCGACGGTGGTGGTGGTGGTAGGAATGGTGGTAAAAGCCCTTCTGCTGTGGTGATTTCCCATGTGGGTTTTGTTACAGACATGTAAAATGCTTCAGTTATGCCTGACTGATGAAAACGCACATGGATTTTTGGCCATTTCGTCAGAAGGCAGCCTTCCACCCAACAGGCACTTAATTGTCACGCTACTACTCTATGGTTTGGCCATACGAATATTTAGGAACACCTGTCTCTAGATAAAGCTCACTGAAGCCTATGAGAAATATACTTCCTTTCTCATTGTCTAAATTAGCCTATCTCAATTTTTTTTTGCAGAGCAAATAAAGACTATCAGAATTGAAATTTCCCAACCACCCTTCTCTCCACTTCTAAACTTACTTATGTCTTCTCGCATCGTCCTCTGCCCTCGCACCTCAGAAAATGTGATGAGTTCCTCCTCTTCAGGCTAACCTCTCCACCTGTGCCCCTGCTCCTCTCCCTCCTGGCTTCCTCCTACACCTCACTCGTTCAGTACTCTTCCTTTTTAATCTTTACAACCTCTTCAGCCACTGAATTATCCCTTCCCCAACCTTATATCTCCCCCAAAATAATATTTTTATAAACATGTGTCTCTTGTACCACCGTTTCCTTTCAACATATCACCATCAAATTTTTCGAGCGAGTAGTTTATACATCTTTTCTCTACTCTTTACTTCTTTTCACTCTTCAGATGATTGCTTTCAACCACTTGACTCGACAGAAAACAGCTCTGAAGAAGGAAATAAAGCTTCTTAATCAGAGGTTCACTTTTCTGTTCTGTGACCATTTATCTATCTCAGCTGAAGAATTTATCCCTCCTGAGCAGGTCTGCCTTCGAAAATTCTCTCTTCCCTTGGTGTCCCTGACGCTATTCTGTCCAGATTCTCTTCATAAATCTTTGTCCTTTATTTCTTATTCTTTTTTGCCCTTACTCCTCTAAAGAAATCATTTATATTTTGGTCATTTTTCAGGATTTCATCCTAAGGCTCCTCTCTTCTTCACTGTTGCTGGGTGATTCTCTTCTGTGTCTACTCAACCTACATCTCTAATCCTTCCCTTTTTCCTGAAATTCAAAACCTCATTTGCCCTTGAGTGTTTAGCATTTCTACATAGATATTCTAACATCTCTCTTCTCTATATCCACTAGAAGAATCGTGAACTACATGATGGATCCAAGTATAAAGGGGGAGTCTTTGTTGATGCTCTCTTCCACTTCCACATTCAACTGTTTGCAAAGTTCTGTTCTTTTTACCACCTAAACATTTCTTCAACAGGTGTCTTCTCCTGTCCATTTCTCAAAATTGTATGAGCTTACAGCATCAGCTCTCATAAGAAGTATTGACATGGCATCCTCATGTGTCTCCTTTTCTTCAGTTTTCTGCCACTCTAGTCCATTCTGCATTTCACCATCTGTTATCTTTTTTAAATGTCACTTAATGACATGACTCTTCAGCTTGAAGCCCTTCACTAACTCCTCACTGCCTTCTCAGCATAAACATGACTTCACTCCCTGTATTAGTTTCCTATGGCTGCTGTAAAAATTTACCACAACCTTGGCGGCTTAGAACAACATAAATTCATTCCCTGACAGTTTCGGGGGCCAGAAGTCCAAAATCAGTTTCAGTGGGCTAAACTCAGGGTATCAGTAGAGCTGGTTCCTTCTGGAGGCTCTAGAGGAAAACCCCTTTCCTTGCTATTTCCAGCTTCTAGAGGCATTCTGTATTCCTAGGCTGTGGTCCCTTCCTGCATCTTCAAAGTGCATCACTCCAGTGTCTGAGTCACATGGCCTTCTCTCTGACTCTTCCTACCTCCTCTTATAAGATCCTTTTGATGACACTGGGCCCACCCAGATAATCCAGGATAGTCTACCAGTCTCAAGAGTCTTAATTTAAGCATGTCTGCAGAATTCCTTTTGCCATTGACAGGTAACATTCACAGGTTCCAGAGATTAGGACCTCAGCATCTTTGGGAGCCATTATTCAGCCTGCCACGCCCTCTGCCCTCTCCAGCTGCTGCATCACTGACTACTCCCTGCCCCAAGCTTCCTCCACTCTAATGATACAAGGATACTTGCTATCAATCCCAAACCCTTGCATTTGCTTCGAAACAGTGTAAGGCCTAGAGACTGCCTCCCTGCCCCTGTCAAGGCCATGGATAAGCTCCCACTCTGTCTCACTCAGGAATTTTCTCCTGGGTCCCTCTCTTGCCCTCCTCTAGGAACTCTCTTTTCTCCTTTCCTTGGTGTCTGTCTGGTTCCCTAATGTCTGGGAGGATCTCCCTCTCAGGCCCTTAGGATCAGCAAATTCATCTTCCTGGCTGTGATTTCTGTTTCTTGTTTATGTTTTTAATTGCCCCCTTCAGCTCTATAAATTGCCATTTGCAATTAAACAACACCCCGTCCCGGTGTCAGGCCCCAACTCTGGTCCAGGATTAAGGTTTGCACTGGTTTGGAGGAGGGCACTGAGCCTTTAACACACTCCTGAGACTTTGCAAATGCGTTGCCTGTCTGCCCTCGTCCTCTATTCCACCTCCGTTCTACCA